CAGAGCTAGTAGCGAATCATACACTTAAGGTCATGCGGTCAAGGTAGCAAGGATGAGAGCTCATTAGAAGAATTTCGTTTTGGAAGCGTTAAAGTTTCTTGCCACAACTAACGACTGATTTTCAAGAGCAGATGCTAGTTTTACTTTTTCCTTCTAAGGTAACATTCGGCATTTATTGGCCGAGCAGACAGTACCGATGTAGATTGAAATTTGTGAAATCTGTCTCTGAAAACAATTTTTGCAATAAAATAAATTTCGTTCTTACCACCCATTCCAGTATTGGTTGGGTTTTTCCTTGCTAATATTTTAAGTTGTGTAGGATATCAACAATTTCATTATGCCATTTTCTGTTTTAGTTGTAATATCCATTTTAGTTTTTATTTCTATTGACCATTCTGACGTAATATGGTTTCTGTTAATTGACTCAGCTCTTTGTGATTCTGTAGAGCCAATCCAGAAGGTTCGAAAAAAAGGTGTTTTTCACCAAGATTCAGAGGCTTCACTCGCTCAAACCCTTTTTAAAGCATTGATTTTAGAAAGTGGTTGTGTACAACAAAGAGTTTAGATATTACTAAACGGGTTTGGCGCCATGCATGTCATACAGATGAAAGTCTTGATTTAACAAGGCTGTCTAAGAACATGACTCGAGTATTTAGATTAATGTTTTGGTTTTGTAGCAATTGGCGGTGTTGTGTGAAACTACTTCTAGGATATCCTGTTCTATGTTTAATTTCATTATCTCTTATATTAAATTTGTTATAACTGATCCATACAGTGAGGTATTTGAAGGTTTTGGTGCTGAACAACAGATCCTGATTTTTTTTATGATGGATTCATGGTAGGGAAGTTACGCATACACATTGTACAAATTGTTATGCTAAGTGATATTTAACATATACAATGTTTTTACTTTCTTTACATTGATAATAATCTCTTGAGTACATTCGCAGCTTCCCACATTGCAGTTTTTTCTCTTCTGGGGTAGACTGTTCTAGTTCCACGTGCCATGTTTAATGGATGTCAGTTATCAGTTATCTCCTGTAAATTCACCTCTCCAAGTTCTCCACTGTCTTAACCGGGTATTGAACTCACACACTTTTGGGCCCTGTCATTGGATGTAACCAACACCTTTAACCACTGTGCTATATGTCCTAACAAGAGATTCAGTTCGATATTCCAACCACCTAAAGAAGGCTGGTGTGTACAACGGCTGAAACGTTGTGATAAATATGGCGACAAAGATGAAGACAATAGTCCGAATAATGTAAATAGTGTACATAATACCTCATCTCAGAAATATAGACAGACACTGAAGGGTGATAAATATGGCGATAAAGATGAGGACAATAGTCCGAATAATGTAAATAGTGTACATAATACCTCATCTCAGAAATATAGACAGATACTGAAGGTTGATAAATATGGCGACAAAGATGAGGACAATAGTCCGAATAATGTAAATAATGTACATAATACCTCATCTCAGAAATATAGACAGATACTGAAGGTTGATAAATATGGCGATAAAGATGAGGACAATAGTCCGAATAATGTAAGTAGTGTACATAATACCTCATCTCAGAAATATAGACAGATACTGAAGGTTGATAAATATGGCGACAAAGATGAGGACAATAGTCCGAACAATGTAAATAGTGTACATAATACCTCATCTCAGAAATATAGACAGATACTTTTGTCATCTTGCCGATAGCGAAATCGTCTGAAGCTGAAAGCATTTCTGTTACGATTCGATCTGGTCCTTGTTCCGGATTACTATGTGTTATCGATCCTCTTATATGACAGTGAACCCTGGAAAACCTTCTTACATATGAAAAGAAAACTAGAAGCAACAGAAATGGAAGATGGAAAGAAGGGAAGATAATGAAGAAATTAAAATTTGGCAGAGAAAAAACAATCACATTTTGAAAAAGAAAACTTGTCAATTCTGAAAAAAATAATACTGTCAAATTAAAAAAAAAACTTCTCCCAGTTTTTCTAAAAGTTCGAGTCAAATTTGAAAAAAAATAATTCTGTCAAATTGTTAAAAAGTTCCTATCAATTTTTCTAAAATCATTCAGTCAACTTTGAAAAAAATCTTGTAAAATTAAAAAAAGACAAACAAATCATGTAAAATTTAAAACAACAATCATGTCAAATTAAAAAAAAAAAATCCTGTAAAAAAAAAAAATAAATAAAAAAAATTGATTATGTAGAACGTTCTGTGTTGTCTGTCGTCTTCACTAATATTCAGCTTTGGAGGAGGAAAAACGAAATATAGCATTGTATTTTGAATTTATCATTACTCTGTAAGTTGCTGGGAATGTGAGATATCTTTAGGTGTGGTCTCTCACGTTAGAAAGAGGTTTAGATTTGTTCCAAGTCTTTTTTTTTTTTTTTTTTGAACTTTTCTATCGCCAACAGAAAGTAAGTATTGTAAATGATAGTTACAATTTAAAACCTGTCAGGAGGAAAAACCCGAACATCGAGAGAGGAAATAGCATTCAGTCGATGATTTCTCTAATGAGAGAAACAGCCCAGGGAATTTATATTATATCAAGCGATTATTCTTTCCTGTCTGGCAGCCAAATTTTTCAATGACGCAACAATAGGTTGTCCTAAAAATTGTTTCACGCTTATTTAGATGTGGGGCCTAATCATAACAACAGGCATACTGTCGCGGATGGTTTGCGAAACGTTTGCCTTATTTTCACCTTGGCAGTTATCAGTTTAGCATCTTTCATTCCCCACCAAAAAAAAAAAAATTATTAATAAGCACACACCGTGTTTTTCGTTATGTTTCTCGCCTTTTCATTCATTCGTTTCCTGTGTCGGTGCCTCACCTCGCCTCGCCTCAAGGTAATAGTTAACAAGCTGGTCTCGTAGATTATTAACTGAGTTCTATCTTCTGTGGGTGGTCCACATATGTGACCCTGTGACAAAACTAAGCAAAGCTTCATAAATTGCTATTTATTATTTCTCTACTATGTGTTTTAGTTATCGGCGTGTAAAGCAAAGTTGGCGAACTGTGTTCAAACTCAACCTAGGACTGGTGCGTTCATTTCGCGCTAATACGCATGGGAAAGAAATGAATTGATCTCTTAACCCAATAGATATAGCTTAAAAAACTATGTAGATTAGGGAGATTAAGGAGATTAGTGGAGTAATGGATAGCGGCTCAAAGTGAGGAATCGGAAAGCCGAGTTCGAATTACAGTCGAATCCATTACATTCACTTACGTACTAATACCCTTTGCAAAGGTATGAATCCTTTTATTCTCCCCCCAACTATGGGTAAATAGCAGGACCGCTTTGGATAACAACTGGTCTATTGCAGAAAGAAAATGGCAACCTACTGTGGGAAATAATCTGCCTCGTCAGTATCGATAGCTTAGACGATCAAGTATCGAAAGATACATGATCGCCTAAGCGTGTATCACGCATAGCTCATAACTAAATAACAATGTAGATTAGCGTCGGGGAGCACAGTGGAATAATGGACAGCAGCTCGGAGTGAGGAATCAGAGAGCCGAGTTCGAATTCCAGTCGAATCCATTACATTCACTTACGTGCTAATACCCTTGGGAAAGTTATGAATTCTCTTCTTCTGAGGGCTATGGGTAAATAGGACAGCCTTGAATGGCAACTGGTCTACCGCAGAAAGAAATGGCAACGTAGTTCGTCTAGTTGCCACTGCGTCAGTCATGTATCGAAAGGTTCATGATCGCCTAAGCGTGTATCACTCATGGCACATAACTGACTGATTGAGATTAGGGTCTTGAGTCTTGGGTAGCAGCTCTGAAGATATATTTAGGCAGTAAGTTGTTTACCCAAAAACGTATTTTTTCCAGTTTTTGAATAAGGTCTTGATCATTATGTTGGAAGTTGTGAATAAACTGCCTGAAGTTCATATTTTGTTATTTTTTGGTAGTGGTAGCCACAGAGGCGGCGCAAAATGCGCTAATTGACTAAATGAATGACATCCTGGTATTCTTTGGGAAACTAAGTTTGAAATTGTCTAGCGTGACGGGAGGAGAGGGGGACACACAAAATGATTGCGTGTTATTTTTATTTATTTATTTTATTTATATATTTAATTTTATTTTTTAATATTAATATAATGCGTGCACGGATTGCACTGGGTTTTGACAGGTGGCAGGTTAGTCTTCGAGAGTGACTGTGGTGCATATTTTCCCAATGGAAATATTTAATATTGTTTTTTGATTATTAGGGCATGGGAATTTTTTTTATCAATAAAGGCGATTTACTTAGTTTATTTTATTTCATCAATTAATTAATTTATTTTTTAATTTTTAATACTAATATAATATGTGTGCAAATTGATATGCACTTCAGGATACCATCTCCTGTGGTGAATGATATTTTATTTAATATGGGCTGTTTATTTTGTATAATAATAGCTTCTAAAGTTTTGAGTTTTTCCTTCCATTGGATGCTTGTTATAGTGGAGCACACCTATTCTATTGTTAATAGACTCTCCCACCTATAATAAGCAGGAGTAGTAGGGGTCGCTCAGTGGGTCGGTCAGTCAGTCGACTGGCTGATCGGTCGAACTCTCTGCCTTCGGGCGAGAGGAACTCGAAAGAGGCTACGCCGAAGGGCGGATTCTCTTTCGGGGAGGTAAACCGACCCTGAACCCGTTTATACGGGTTCAATGGGCATATTTTTGGCCGAGCCCACGGGCTCGGAGATCCCACGTTGGGGCGGGGGGTGACTGAATATCGTCGGTCAGTCAGTCGATGCCGGACGGCCGTTAGTCGGATACTAAAGTATCAGCGACCACAACTAGATTTCTCTGCGTCATTACCTATTATATCAAGTCCCTAACGTTTTGTACGTCGAACCTATTTTAGGACCGACTTAGTACAAATACAAGCCTCCACTGTGAAACCACTCCATAACAATGCTATGGAGTATTTTGGTGTTATCTACTAATATTTGCATTTGCTGGTCGATGTGTGAGCGTATTGTACTGACTTTTCACACACACACACAGAGAGAGAGAGAGAGAGAGAGAGAGAGAGAGAGAGAGAGAGGGAGGGAGGGAGATAGATAGATAGATAGATAGAGAGAGAGAGAGAGAGAGAGAGAGAGAGAGAGAGAGAGAGAGAGAGGCTCGTATGTGCCCGATGTAAATATCAATCGCTGTTTTTGATTATTAGTGATGGTGATGCAGTTTCCTATGTGGTATAAGAATTCATTATTTTTACATTGTGGAGATTTTTGAGTTCTGGTGTTGTTGGTAAGAATTAAACTAGAGGTTTTAAACATTTTATAGTAGATGATAAATCTTAGGTGTTTGTTAGGATCGTTCAGTGATATGTACCGCTGAATTATGTTTTTAATTGCTTTTTCATCCTGCGTATAATTAGGATGCATCTGGTTACGATAGAATAACTTAATGGTGTGTTCATTTTTGTTTTTTCCGTCATGGAAGGGGTTTTGCGTCATTTAGTTTCTTTTAGGCTAATTTTATTTGTTCGTCGACGACGTGGTTAGGGAAGTTAGGAAAGTTATTCTGGATCAGGGTTTGTTCAATGTTGGTAAGTTCCTTATAGAATAATATGTCTGAAAAAGAGAGTACTTTGGCTCGATAAATCATGTTATATATATATATATATATATATATATATATATATATATATATATATATATATATATATATATATATTTTCTTTCTGTACTTCACCGCTACCAGCAAGCAGAAATATTGCTTCTCCTGATGATGGCCATTTTGGCCGAAACTAGTCGAGGAATCTAAAGGAAATAATAATAAAATAACCCGAAAGAATATTAATCTATAACCCAGTGTGTCTGAAGATTTTAATTTTTTAATATTTTTATTGTTCAATATATATATATATATATATATATATATATATATATATATAGTTAAACCTAGAAGAGCCAGACAAACCTACCAATGTTTCACCTAAGCGGATCGTCAGGAAGGCAGCCTTCCCTGTCGATCCGCTTAGGTGAAACCTGGTAGGTTTGTCTGGCTCTCAAGGTTTAACAAGGTCTGCTCTACTTACTGTATCGAGCACTTTATTTAGTTATTTTGCCTACTCGTATCGGTTTTTTTTCTTTGGACTTTGGACTTGCATGCTAGACGATTATTTTCGGCTAAAGTACATGTTCTTGGCTCTTTCTTTTTTTATAGCTATTTTTTCCCTTTAGTATTGATTTGATTATTCGCAAATCAAGACACCAAAGGCCGTTGCTTTAAAACTAATTTGATGGTTAATGCTATTTTTCTTTGTGGTTTCTAAGACCTCAAGCAATCAATTTAATTTCGTTCTTAATAGATAACGAGTATAACAGCAAAATTGTCCAAATTGTGTAAAAGCAAAATTGTACATTTGTTAGATTAAGATTTGAAACGTATCTTAAGAATGATTAAAGATATCTTACTGTAATTCTCCAAGGTTTTTATAACACTATTGGACTTTACTTTGAGCAATAAGAATGGATAATTACTCCCTAGGTTTAACGTAAGAATCGTAATGAAATCGATCATAAATGAAAATGACATGTTCATCATTAATTAATCATAGCTAAAGATCGGAAGCTCGTGAAGTATTGAAATATAGTTCAAATAATAATATTATTACAGGATCATTTTCCAGCTTATTCAAGTTGATCTTCGCCCACTCTAAACTTCTAATTTTCTGTCCTGGAGTAACATGGTGCCTCAGAAGTTTCACATACGATTTCATTTTCATGTTTTTTTTCACTGACTTTTGAACTGTCATAGCTGAAACTCCTCTTTCACGTGCTAACGTCTTATGAATTGAAAGGGATCTTTAAGTTGAAATGATGATCCCTCTTCCTGTGTGTTATGGTACGATTCCTTGTACCACGGTAATAGTCCAAGGTAGAACCAATAAAGAAGAACTCGAACACAGGCATGGAATAACACAGATATATTACAAACAGGAATATATACAGAGAAGTAGAAGTGTTAGTATGAACAATCAGGTTTAGTAGAGAGAACAATGTAGTCTCGACGAGTATCACTATTACAATGTCTTGTAGTAATTGTCTGAACACGACTCTGTTCCGGACTGCCTCTGACTCGAGACTCGACTCTTGACTCGACTTGAACTACTGACTCGACTTGAACTACTGACTATATTTAGTCACCCCCCCCACGTAGGCATCATGTGGCACAAGGCCGCTTTAACGTGGGCTTTCCGAGCCCGTGGGCTCGGCCAAAAATTCAGGTTCAGGGTCGGTTTCCCACCCCGAAAGAGAATCCGCCCTTCGACGTAGGCTCCTTCGGGTTCCTCCCCGCCCGAAGGCAGAGAGTTCAACCGATCTGTCGTTCAAGACCTGAGCGACGGACTCCTGCCTACTCCTGAGGCGCAGCATTTATTAAGTATGGAATAATCCATTATTATTATTATTATGGGTAAGATCCCATAACACTGTTGTAACCTCCCAATTCAGTTTTCCTCTCCACTGTTCCCACTTTTTTAAACTTATTCATCGTTCTCTTGGCGGTTCTTGAATAGACTTTGAATATGAAAGCCAGAGTATGAATATTGGTGCCATTACTGAAAGCCTAAATGATCATTTTCCTCTCACTATTACTCATTTGGGAAGACATGAAACAATTTTTAACCTGTTCTCTTTTTAGCTGAATAACTCAAAAGGACAATTGGTATCAAGATGACTAAAAATCTTATCTGAAAATCTGGAAAAAAATTATTTTAGTGTATTTTTTTTAGGAATTAAAGATTTTGTGGGATGGACAATGATGCTCTTACTCGATTTGGACAATTTTGCTGTTGCACCCGGCATATTCAAAATGCAATTTGAAGCCAAGGACACAAAACATTCAGTCGTTTATTTTCAGTTTAAAATTAAAAAAAAAAAACTTTAATGGTTCTTTAATGGATGTATTCACTAATTCTTTTCGAAAAGGAATGAATCCATCTTCCCCCTGTTACGGGTTAAATAGCAGAACAGAATAAGTTCTTTTGCCTTGGGCAGGCTAAGAAAAAAATAAAAAGCCGAATCTAAATGACCACTAAAGAAGAGAAAGCTACGAAGTAAATCTTATACAACTCTGAAGTGGAACCCCCCTAAGGCGGTTGGGTAGTGTACTCCATCGCATTCCAGCTTTACCCCTTTCCTTTTGACCTGCAACAGTATGATCTTGATGCATGGGCAGGCCAATATCTTCATAGTCCCTGTCCAGGATCGTGGCTTACGGCCACGTCATGTTGAAACACCGGTTACCGTAAGATCACCGAAGTTAAGCTTCAGTCAGTTCCTTGATGGGTGACTGCTTGGGGATATCAGGGGCTGTAAGCTTGGATGTGCGGGTGGTGTAATTGTTAATCGGAGAGCCGAGTTTCAATTCCAGGATTCAGCCACTTTCCCACCACCGTAACGTAGCTTCCTTGTAACGTCCCCATAAATATTTTCATGGTCATTGTTCTGATCAGGCTTCCTCTTTGGCGCCTCGTTTTCACGTATTTAAGCGCAGTAACAAATCACTACTGGGATATGCGTTGTGGTTTAACAGATGTCGGCTCGGAAAACAAAATCAGAGAGCCGAGTTCGAATTCCAGTCAGGTTCGTTATATTTACTTACGCGGAAATACCATTGGGAATAGTTTGAATCCATCTCTATTTCTCTCACCTATGTGTTAATTAGTAAGTCTTGTATCACTAAATACTTATCTTAAAAAGAAAAAATACATACATTTTAAAAATTATTTTCTGGCTTTAAATAACCTGTGTTGCATAGCCTCCACATGCCGGGAGGTCCTGCTCAACGGTGCTAATTTTGTATACAATTTTGTATCTCCCCTTCGTGCTGGGACGTCAACGACACCAATTCCATAATTATGTTGCATCTTCTCTCTTGGCCGGTCATTGCTAGATGTTTTAGGTCCAGAGATAAAAGAACTCAACACAGAAAATTTTAACTTAATTATTTATTAGTATCGACATGTAATAACTATCCATTGGGGATCGTTCCCCTTCACTGAGGAGGTGTTTTAGACACGAAAGATACCATGTCTTCATTGCTTGACGTTTAAGACTCGACTCCTGGGGAAAAAAAACAAACATTTTTCTATCTGTCATTCCCACGCTAGCTCAGCTAATCAAAATCGACTTCTCCATTTTGGCTTGCATCTGACCCCATGGTCAACCTCAGGAAGTCGGAGAAGAGATACACTTCTTCTAAAATATAATAGTCTGCTAAACTATTATTTAACACCTGCAGAGGGTTGGTTATCCGTAAAAAACGGATCAATCGTATATCGCTGAAATAGAGGATGTGTCGAGATATTATAAAGACAGAAAAACACATTCAGAACACATCGGCAAAGGCGTAGCAAAGTGTGGTCAAGAATATTTGCACTCACTCCCGGGCGCAAATGTAAATTTCCGTCTAGTATTAAAGGTTTCTTTGTAGCTTCTCTATAGCCACGAATACCAGTTTTATAAAATAATACTTTTTTAGAATGTAAACCGAAGCAAATTTATCTAATATTTTTCTCTTTGTTTCATAAACCCACGCACACTAACACAAATGATTTTTCTTTTATTTATTTAACCCGAAGCAGGCGATAAAGCCACTAAGACGCAAGGGAGTGAGAGGATAAGAGTTTAGTAAAGTGAAAGGACAATAAAAGAACAGGTTTCAGGAAGACAGAAGATGGTAATTGACATTGGACTTAGTCTTTTGAAGATCGTAGGTAGCAGGGAGGCAAGACACTGCAAGTTAGTTCCACGGACGTGATGTACGAGGAAATTAATTATTAGAATAGAGCTTATGGTTACATCTACATAGTTCAACAGTAAAACGTTGAGACCTAATTGCCAATCTAGTAGTACACTTAAATTCGTACAGTCGAGATACGAAAGTGGAAAGCTGATTAGAACAAATGCCATAAAAAATATTTAAAAAGGCAGAGGAAAGCCACATCACAATGGTGGGAAGGAAACTGAAGCCAAGATGCCAGGCCAGAACCGATTATATTACAGACTTCTCTTTGGATTTTTTCAAGAATCTCCAGACCAGATATGGCGACTATGACCTTCCAAATGTATTCGAGAACACCGAATTAGATACGTAGTTTTGATTTAATCGAGCTGTTACATTGAAAAATAAAATTACTGAATAACATGAATTGTATTCACCTCCAGGCGCTGAGAACTCAACACTTGCTACGCCACTTCAAATGTTGCTCTCCATTGAAAAAGCTACTACAAAATTAGTCATTTTAAAGCTCTTATTATAACATTAGATATTCATTATCAAGACTTTTGGTTTAATTTACTATCGATATCTAAGACAAGTTAACGTCATGGGGATTAATGTCGCGTTTCTAAATTTACAGTCCTGCTGAGCAGTATACAGATCAATTACCGAATATCCGTCGAAAAGATTTTAGTTAATGCTTTGCCAAAATTCGTTGTTTAATCACCTATTTACTCTTTTACCGACAGAAATATATAGTTTTGTTAGTAAAGAAAATATTGGGTTGGTGCATAATTATCAAGCGTTTTTATAAGCGAGTAACTTGTTAAGAAAAATTGCTGTTTTGTTTACTTATTTTAATATAAATATTATTTTATTTTCAGGTTATAAAAATGCGTGTCGATAATCACACGCCCTGGAATAATCATTTAAAAATGTTATTGCTGAATTGTTATGTTTCTTTTTTCATAACAAATACTGTTTAAAAAAAAACGCCTGATAATTATGCACCAACCCAATAGATAAAAAAGCGTTTTGTAAAAAAAATGACAACGTTATATAAATTAGAATTATGTGTAATAATTTGATATTTATTAATTTATAGCCATATAGAACTATTTTTTTTTTGACGAGAGTGTATCATTCATTGTTTGTCTATATTTCTGAGATGAGGTATTATGTACAGTATTTTCATTAGTCGGACTATTGTCCTCATCTTTGTCACCATATTTGTACGCTCCGGCCTTCTTCAGGTGGTTGAAATTTCGAACTGAACCCTTTATTTCGGTAGACTGTTCTAATTCCACGATGGATGTTAGTTATCAGTTATCTCCTGCTAATTTTCCCTCTGAAAGTTCTCCACTGCCTTAACCAGGAACTGAACTCACCTTCTTTGGGTCTGTCACTGGATCTAACCAACGCCTTTATCCACTGTGCCATGTGTCCTTAAGGACATCTGGGTATGAAATTCTGAGTATTATAAACCTAATGTTTTCAGCATCATTTTTACCAGTGCTCATATTGCAATTTTGCTGTTATCATTGCATGTCTTTACCAGAGTTCATATTGCAACTTTGTTATCATTGCTTTTCTCTGGCACTCCTTATTACTGGTTCCCATATTGTATTTATTTCTATGCTTGGTCGGCTCAGGAGATTTTTGTGGCCTAGCATATGTGCTGATTCCTTAAGTCTACGAATTTTCCAATGGTGTTCCCTGTCTATGATCTCAACATGATCCCACAGGGGCGGTGATCTCCCTTCTCTCCATATGTGGTCAGCCACGCCTGATTTTTTCTACTTCCCCTCGCGTTACAGCTTTCTGGTGTTCTTGAAGCCTTACCTTGAGGGGGGCGGCCTGTCTCTCCTTTATATTCCTTTCCGCAGCTGCATGGGATAGCGTACACACAGTCTTTAGTCATGTTCCTCTCTATGGGGGTCTCACTCGTGAGAGATACCTGCGAAGTGTTGTCACGCTTTTGAAGGTTGTCCTGATGTTATATGGACCGCAGATCCTTTGTATTTTCTCTGATAACCCCTTCACATAAGGCAGGCAGACTTTTTTCTGAGTGTTGTTGTCCTCCTCCTCCTCCTCCTCCTCTTGTACCCGCCTATCCCATGGCACGTGGAATTAGAACAGTCTACCCCAGTGATCGAAATAAAGGGTTCAGTTCGAAATTTCAACCACCTGAAGAAGGCGGGAGCGTACAACGGCCGAAACGTTGTGACAAATATGGCGACAAAGATGAGGACAATAGTCCGACTAATGTAAATACTGTATCATTCATTGTGTTTTGACGTTGGACACTCGATTATAAAATTTTCATGCAATTTCGCTGATCAAATTTTACTGGTATGACCAATCTGATATTAAATAAACAATTAAAAGAAATCATTATTCAAGAGAATTTGGTATTTCGATGTAGTGTAATGGTTAGCTCGCTAGGTCAATTACGAGTAGTGACTTCGATCCTCACTAGATGCCCCATACTTTCGGCCCTGTGCCACATCTAAGCTACGCTTAGAAAATCGCCATTATTTAAGAGAATCGAATCCTATATTATCATTCTGTACAATGATTTCAAATAATGAAAAACAAGCGAACTAAAAAACAATACATACTTATAAATAGAATTTTTATTTATACAATAAAGTCGATGTAACACACACACACACACACACACACACACATATATATATATATATATATATATATATATATATATATCAGTGGACAATGAGTTTAACACCGAGTAGTGATAGTCCGTTTCATGTTTGAACGCAAACTTTGGGCCATCTACAGTCTTGAAGATTGTAAGAGAGAGAGAGAGAGAGAGAGAGAGAGAGAGAGAGAGAGAGAAAATATATTTGGGGCGAAGAGAATGAAGAAATGCAGCTATAAAAGAGAGAAAGGAAGAGGACGAAAGAGAAAAGAAATAGTTTCGAGAAGGGAGTAAAAGTGTAGGTTTGAAAGGTATAAAGAAAGCGAAAGATAGATAGATAGATAGATAGATAGATAGATAGAGAGAGAGAGAGAGAGAGAGAGAGAGATCTGGGAAGAAGAAAAAGATAAAAAGTATGAATTCCCAAACAGAAAGGAAGAGAAAGACATCTTAATTTACTGACTTCATTTCTTTCGCGTTAATTCTAATCCTTGGCCCTAAATGCGTGAGTCTAAATACTCCTTCACGCCCATTTCTCGTCCTGCAAAGAAAACAAATCTCCAAGGATACAAAGGACTGAAGTTAGAGTTCTTCCCTTTTGTTAGTTCTTTTTACTTTCAGACGATGATCCCTTTTAGCTACAGGATAATCCATTATGAAGCTAATGTCCCGAAGTGTAATCTGGGAAAAGAAAAAAAAATAATAAAGTGTCTTCCGTCCCTCGGGCCAACGAGGAATTTATCCATTCATAGACGTTATCTCCATGCTCAGTTTCGGACGGAGTAAAGAGATTAAGAATTGGTCTGTAGAATAAACTCATTCCAGTTTCAGCAGGAGCGTCTCTCTATGAAGCTATGGATATGAAGCTAGACTTCTTCTTTTATGTGCTATGTTCCTAGGCAGTTATGGCCATCTACATCTTCCTGATCCTTGTGGCCCTTAATAAATTTTGTCTTGCTAACAATCACCGGAAAATACCTAAACTTCAACTTTCACCACCTATACAGTGTAAAGAAAGTGATCGTCGGCTGCTTACAACATCAAGCAAAAGTCATAAGTGGTGACCCAGAGACATATGAACAAGAAATGGTCAGTATAAACAGTACCCTACAACATTACAACTACTCTGGGTACATGGCACCGAAAAAAGCTGGGATAGAAGAGTAAAAGAAGATAAGAACACCCCGAAAGCAGCCTTAGTCAGCTTATCCTATGTGAAGGGATTATCGGAAAAAAATACAAAGGATTTGTGGTCCATATAACATCAGGACGACCTTCAAAAGTCGTTCGACACCTCGCAGACATCTTTTCCGAGTAAGAACCCCCCATAGAGGAGAATATGACTAAGAATTGTGTATACGCCATCATATGCAGCTGTGGTAAAAATATAAATAAGAAACAGGTCGCCCCCTTAAGTTAAGACTATAAGAACATCGTAAAGCCGTAACGCGGGGGGAAATAGACAAATCAGGCGTAGCTGACCACATATGGAGGGAAAAGGACCACCGCCACCCGTGGGACTAGTTTGAAATAATAGACAGAGAACATCACTGAAAAATACGAAAACTTAACGAATCAGCACATATGCTATGCCACAAAAATCTCCTAAACAGGCCAAGCATAAAAATGAATAAAATATGGGAACCAGTAATACAAATTTCTAGAGAAAAGCAATAACAACAAAATTGCAATATGAGCTCTGGCAAAAAAAATGTTACTGAGATATTAAGTACATAAGCCCCCAAAATTCATACGCTGACGTCCTCAAGGACACACGGCCCAGTGTATAAAAGCGCTGGTTTGACCTAAAGAGTTGTGGGCTCACTATACTGCAGTAGTGAACAAAAACTTGGAGAGTTGAGTTAAAGAGACATAAGTGAGGCATTAGAAAGAGGCATGGCACGTAAAACTAGAGCAATCTAGCCCGGTGGACAAAATAAAGGGTTCAGTTCGAAATTCAAACAAGGCCGGAGCGTGCAGTAAAGATGTGGACAACATTCCGAACAATGTAAATAAGTTTTGTTATTTTTCCCAACCCTTTTCTGCCATCCATTTGCTCAAGCTCATTAAGTGTGTCACGCGCTGCCTTTTCTCTTTCTCTATTTCTCTCAATTTGTCCCGTGAGTATCAGATTCTCCAAGTCCCCCTTCCTCATTATGTACCCCAGAAATTTCAATTGCCTCTTTCTAATGTTAAGTATGAGTTCCCTTTTTGTTTCCATTCTCCCCAAAAACCTCGGTGTTGCTCGCATATTTGGCCCATGTTATCCCCAGTATCTTTCTGTAGAACCAGATTACTGTTGCTTCAAGTCTCTTAGCTATCTTTGAGGAACATTGCAGTACTATTTTCTTTGTTTCTAACGATTTTTTCTGTCTTTTAATACTCTGCTTAGATTTTGGAATGCGTCTTTGGCCATCCCAATACGCCTTCATATCTCACTGTCTTGCAAGTCATTAATACTGCACTGAGTTCGATCTGTAGAGGCTATGGAACCATATTGGCACCCAGCCAAACTAAATTAAACCGATGACGTATCTACACTTACGTACATTTAAATTGTAGTGGATTCGATTCGATTCTCCCCGCGCCAAACTAAAGCCAACTCAGTAAATAATAGAATACATGATAGCTTCGAATCAATTGTTAGTAAGATTTTATCAAAATCTACGACCACTTTAGTATGTTCAATATTAACTGGATGTATCATTATCGAGGCTGGTTCCAGATTGAGTCTTGGTAAATATTTACATGCAGAGACTGATAGCCTCAATAAGGATAGTCTCGTTATGGGTTGGGTTGGGTTTGTTTTGATTTTGTTTTACGGCAGATCAACCTCAATGGGTTATTTAATACAGAAAAGATTTTTGGGATAGGATCGTATGAATAGAATCTGGTCTTTGTAAGGAAATCAGTTTCTACATCAGATTTCAATGACGTATTTTTGAAAAGAGGATTTTGTCTAGAGTCAAATGTATTGCTGGTAATATCTTTTTTCAAAAATGTATTGCTGTTTTTTTTTACTATAAAATTCTGTTTTTATATTTTCATAGTGTTTTGACCTCAGTTTTTTGCGTGTGGGGGGGGGTCACTATTTTCCCATAGCTGGGACCTTAACAGGTGCTACCACCCTGGATCAGAGTTGACCTTGGAACAACAGTAATTAAGAAGTGGTTCCATGCTCTTCAAAAGCACGCAATCTGGGCCTTGCTGCCGATGTAGTTTATCGTCAGACCCGGGGCGTCGTCTCGCCGTGGAACATTGCTTATCAAGTTAACCTTGGGATGAGTTGGATTGGGTTAGTAGAATTTAAAATTTTATATAAAATTTTTTAGTCTATTTAATGTCGAATTATTTATTTTTCAAATTATTACACGTAAGTATATAGGTAAACGCTAGTCGGGTTTATACTTAAGACTACTGGTACGCATTAGGGTCTTATACTTGAGCCTATAGGTAAATATTAGAAGTGTTTATACTTGAGTCTATAGGTAAATATTAGAAGTGTTTATACTTGAGTCTATAGGTAAACAATGTTAAAAAAAAATATACTCTGGTATTTAGCTAAATATTGGTTGGAATTAAACTTGAGACTATAGGTAACATTAAACGAGTTTATATTTGAGTCTGCAGGTAAACATTAGTCGGATTTATGCTTGAGTTTATAGGTAAAGGTTGGTTTGATTAATATTTGAGTCTCTAGGTAAGTATTGGTCGGGTTTATACTTTAAGCTCTAGGTATAAACAAAGTGATTGTAATTATACCGGAATCTGTAGGTAAACATCGGTTAACATTGTTAAGTATTGGTCGTTTTTAAACTTGAGGCTATAGGTAAACATTGGTTGTAACTATACTAGAATCTCTGAGAAAATATTGGCTAGGTTTATATTTGAGTCTATATTTAAGTATCCGTCAGGTTTAAACTTGAGGCTATAGGTAAACATTGGTTGTAATTATACTAGAATATGTAGGTAAATATTGGTTGGATTAATACTTGAGTCTATATGTGCCAGAAGCGTTGTATATATCTACACGTACTTTATGAAAATCCCGTAGAGGAGACCTCATTTTCGAGCAATAATTCTCAAATTTGTCTGGGACACTGTTAGAGTTGTAGCAGGTTTGATTCTCATTGGGCACCCCTGCTAGGGTGATCAAGTGTCATATCAAATTATACATCTATATATATATGTTAGACTTGGTAGATTCGTTTTCCCGTGGAATTGTAGTTAGCAAATTCGTCTTGAAAAAGTTATGGTTGTAGTGAATTTAACCTTCACTTGGTACCGTGACAGGATGCGCATGGCTGCGATGCATTGGTTACCAAATATCTTTCTAACCTTTACTATCTATAATGATTGATCTGGATCGGGCATCCTTCTACGGTAGCCTTCTACCAAACGAAATCAAGGTTTGCAAGTTTATCGCGACTTCCGTGGCAAATGTTTCGACATCACTCCCTGATCTGAAATCCAATCATACAAGCCTATTACTCTTTTTACCTGTCTATATTTCTGAGATGAGGTATTATGTACACTATTTATATTATTCGGACTATTGTCCTCATCTTTGTCGCCATATTCATTACAACGTTTCGGCCGTTGTACGCTCCGGCCTTCTTCAGGTGGTCGGAATGTCGAATTGAACCCTTTATTTCGCTCACTGGGGTAGACTGTTCTAGTTCCACGTGCCATGTCTAATGGATGTCAGTTATCAGTTATCTCCAAGTTCTCCACTGCCTTAACCGGGTATTGAACTCACACTCTTTGGATCCTGTCACTTGATCTAACTAACGCCTTTATCCACTATGCCATGTGTCCTTGAGAACGTTTCCGGTTTTAATATGTTTTATGATACCATCTGAGAATACATAATATCAGATTTAATCCTAGATCTGTATGGTGCACTTCCAATATAATACCGTATTTTTTGTGTATTAGACGCACATTCTCGCTAGATTATTGAAACGGATGGGGAGAAAGTATATCGTCCCAAGAAAATCACGACCACAACTATTATTTAGAAAGAAAGTTCTGTAATCTAATCAATCATGCCCTGGCATCTTAACTTCAGTCACTTTCTCACTGACGTGACATGGCATTCCAATATCTTGTTTATATTTTCATGACAATTGTTTTGAGATGAGCTTTCCTCATTAGTGTCTCGATTGCATGAATTTAATCGTACCACAAGATTGGCAATTATATCTCACCATTTTACTGTTGATATATATATATATATTCTAATAGTTTCTTTCATCCAGTTTCTTACGTCCATAGCCACTTACCTTCAAAAATTTAAATGCAGTGCCATTCGCCATTTTTTGTCTTCCTAAAAACTGTTCTTTTATTGTTCTTTCTCCTCTATAAAGTATTCTTCTTCACTTTCACTTCTACTAACCCCCTTGCGTCCTAGTGGCATTATCGCCTTGCTTGGGGGCGAAATGATTAAAAAAATGATCACCAGCATGTATAGGATTTAAATATTTGGGAAATAATTGAACAGATGATGAAAAATGTTTCACCGAAATCGGAAAGCGCAATGTCGAATATAGAAAGATACCTTTCAAAAGCTAAGTAAAGTATTAAGGGAAATTTCACTGGAAATAAAGAAAAGATTGAATGCTATGCAATATCAATCCTCCTATATAGCAATGAAGAGGAAGAGGCGACTTGAGGTAACGGAGATGTCATTCTATAATAGAATAGTGAGAATATCATAAACGGTGCATATGGACAATGAGGAAGTTTTAAGGAAAATGGGAACGGAATCGACCGTTAAACTTAGAATCAGTAAGATAGGATTGAAATTTCTAGAACACATAATGGGGAAAGTAAGCTTGGAAAATTTAACACTCACAGGACATGTTGAAGGCAAGAGGGACAAGTAGAAATATTGATTAACCGACATAACAAACTTGTGGAAAGGATAATGAAAAACAAAAATTTTTAAGAGCTACAAATGATAGGAAGTTGTGGAGACCCATGATTACCTACGTATATTTAGATATTCGCATAAATAAAAGAGAATGATTCGGAGAAAAAAATGAATCGCATTTATACAATACAGCAACGGCTATTCATTTTGTTCCAACCCCCAATATATGAATAAATTCTGCGACCTCCCCCACATTTGCACCGTTGTATTTGTAAACCTTCTTTTTCATTGACCCTTGATTGTGTCCTGCGCACGCAGCACCCACTCCCTCTACAGAAACTCTCCACTCCGTATTCCCGACGGATCACATGCAAGTCAATCACACACAATCACTTCTTGAAGTGCAAACGTTACCATTTGTTTTTCACGCCCACCACCTTGCAAACTCTTTTAATTCCAAAAACAACATGAAAAATAATAGCACGGATGAGGAGGGGAAACGCAGTGAAATCTAAAGAGAATGAGAAAGAAAATAAAAGACGGTGGGATAGGATAGTGCACAGAGACCTTGATAAATGAGGACGCAAATGCCAACCCCCATCGACAGGGAAAAAGCCAATCCAGCACACGAGTCATAGTGAATTTGCGGTCGGCGGCCTCGTTTTGAAAAGAGATCCTACCCGCGCCATTTTCAGCGTTTCGTACTTCGAGGCGGGAATAAAGATCTCGTGCACTCATTGTTTAGTGTACACAAATCCTATTTTTTTCCCACCCTCTTTTCTCCTCTCAACATGTCTGACTCTTTCACCATTTCAATCTCTTTCTGGTTTGATTTTTTTTACAGCGTTCCTCCCATTTTCTTTTGCTTGGCCTATTGTTTTTATCAACAGATAAACACCCGCTTCCATTAATTCCTTAATCTCTTTATTTTCACTAACCCTCATTCCTCTTGATTTATTTCTTGCTTCTCCATCAACGCCACCCCCCCTTTTTTTTACTGTATTATTTTGTTTAAAAAAAAAAATCTCTTCTGCCACTTTAGATCGCCTTTTTATCACAGGATTTTTTTTTTGTTCTCTCTTTCGAAAAAAATAGGTGTGTATGGGCGGGGGGTGGTGAATGAAAAAAAAGTACATGTGGGAGGGAATAAAAAATGAAGAAAAACAGGGTGAAGTGGCGCAACAACAACAAAAACAGAAAGAGTAAAAAGGAAAGAAATAATGGAAGGCCACTGAAATGTAAAATAAAAGAAAGGAGTAAATAAAAAAAGGAAAATTAAGAAAAAAAAAAGAAAAAGAAGAATTGATATAATAATAAAAATAATAATAATATGGATGATGATGAGGAGGAGGATAATGTTGATGACAACAATAATGATGGTAATAATAATAACAATAATGATAATAATTATAATAATGATGATGATGATGATGATGATGATAATGATGATAGAAAAAGAAAAAAGAAGATGAAAGAGAAAGAAGAAAGAAGAAAGAGAAGGAAGTGATATTAAAAAAATTACGAATGAAGTGAGTAAATAAAAAAGAAAAGAAAAATCACAAAGAGGGGTATAAAAAAAAGAAAACAGAAAAGAAATCAGAAAAGAAAAAAGAAAAGAAAAAGAAAAGAAAATGGAGGACTGGGGAAAAAGAACTTAAGGGAAACGAAGGAAAAAAAACAAAACAAAAAAAACAAAAAACAAAACAAACCAACAATAACTTGAAGAAAAGACAACAAAAAAAAAATAAATAAAGGAATGTTAAAAACGCTGGGTTACGAAAAATATAAATAAAAGAGAAAAATCAGCGAGAGAAAAATGAAAGAAAGATAAAGAATAAAAGTAAACGAAAGTGGGGAAAGTGAAAATAAAGAATACATAAAAGAAAGACAAATGAAAGAAAGCAAAAAAGTAAAAAAGAGAAAGGAAGAGAGAGGACGAAAAGAAAGAAGACTTATATGATGTAAGAAACTGAATAAAAGAAAAGAAACGTGGAAGAAATAGGATGAAATAAGGTGGAGAAGGAAGAACAAATAATTAAGTGAATAGGAAGGAAGGAAGGAAGGCCAAAGAAGAAAAGAAATGCGAGTGCGAAAATAAAAGAAAAGCTGTAGAAACAGGATAAAAGAAGGGAGGATGGGAAGTAAGAGAAAAAGAAGGAAAGCGAATAATAAATAATAATAAAAAAGAAAGAAAGAAATATAGATAGATAGATAGATAGATAGATAGATAGATAGATAGAAAGAGAAAATATAAAGTAAAAGTAAATGAAAAAATGTAGCAGAAACAGGACGAATGAAAAAGAAAGATATAAGACGAAATTAAATAAGAAAGAAAGAAGACAGTGCATCGGAAAATAAAAGAGAAAAATAAGGCAAATCAGGCAGATAGAAAAAGTAAAGAAAGAGAAGAGAAAAGAAAGAAAGTGATCAGATGGACAAATACAAAAAAGAAAAGGAAATAATAGTAGCAAATATATAGAGCAGTAAGGAGTTTAATAGGAAGGAAAGAAAGAAAGAAAATAGCAAAATAAGAAAATAAAAAAGAAAGACTAAAGTAAAAAAGAACCAAGAACTAAATAAGATAAAATCGCAACCTTGACAGACTAGAACGAAACAAGATAAGCGAAGCTAAATATGATGGAGGTCCTAAAATGTCCTCGACCTTACCCACTTCCCAAATTCTGTATTCCGATATTTACGCATTGAAATGTGGATTTTCGGAAGTGGGCCGAGCCAAGATCTTGCAAGTTGTAGCTCCTCGGAATAATGTATTCCGAAAAACACAACAATTAAAAGAAAGTTAGAAGAGTAGTTAATTGGGAAAAACACCAAATCGTGTATTTCGCACGGTCCGGTCGCCATTATTAATGAACTCGTAGAAAGGTAGTCATCCTAAGAAGGATGGTGGACAGGTAGCCATTGTTTGTGAAGGAGTGGTTGATATTTTCTATGACTCTAAGAGGAAAAAATAAGAAAAATTACAAAAACGCTGTTATTTATTTCTTTTTTCTTTTTAATTTGACTGCTTTCACCGAAGAGAAAATATGTGGAGTGGGATAATGTACTGTGAGGTTCGGTTTCTACACTAAAAGAGCCCTTAATGCGACGGGAATGACAGTAAAGCAGTATTTATTTAAAATGTCAGCAAAAGAAAGTGGGGATATCCTATTATAAAATGCCAATGAAGATTTTAGGACACGCGAACAAAAATAGGCACACGCACACGAGTTCCGAGTCGCAGTACACGAATTGTACTCACATTCCTTAGTTTCACCAGCTCAGACTTTCACGGCTAGGATCCGCTATGCCGTGTTCACGGTAGCAAACCATCTCCATTCCCTTTGTATTCCTTTAATAAAAAGCAAGTTCCACTGAGACAGCTTGTTACCCAGAATCGTTACTTTGTGGGACAAACTCCAGAGTGAATGCTTCTCAGACAACTATTGCCTTGGTGCATAATTATCAGGCGTTTTTGTAGGGGGAGTTATTTATTGAAAATTTATTGTTGAATTATGTTTTTTTTTTTGTCATAATAAATATTGTATAAAAATGCCTGATAATTATGCACCAACCCAATATAAATTATGTGTGAGTGTATGTGCGTTTGTTTAAAGAAAGAGTGAACGATTGATAAATCGGCATTGACCTACATTATGTCATAATATAATTCTACTTGTTCCATATTTAGTTAGCGTATAAGAATACTGAGCTGTTACGTGACATCTCTTACCGACAGAAATATACAATTTTGTTATTAGAGAAAATATTAGGTTGGTGCATAATTATCAGGCGTTTTTATAGGCGAGTTATTTGTTAAGAAAAATTGCTGTTTTGTTTACTTTTCTTTTAATAAAAATATTATTTTATTTTCAGGTTATAAAAATGCGCGTCGGTAATCACACGCTCCGGAATAATCATTTAAAAATGTTATTGTTGAAATGTTATGTTTCTTCTTTCATAATAAATATTGTTTAAAAACGCCTGATAATTATGCACCAACCCAACACAATCTCTGTTTCATCAGTTCAGGGTCTACCGATATTTATCCTACTTATCTTCATAATACTCTCCCACTACTGTCTCCCCGTTCCTTAAAATCTCACTCAGTAACTATCTACCTTGAGTGGCTCATTGGCTTTTTATTGGGTGAACTACCAGTAAAAAAAGTGTACATCAACGAAAGGTACTAAAAAGTCAAAACAGACATGATTGACTACATAAATGGTCGCGCACATACATAGTAAGAAAATTTTATGCTACTTTGTCATATTTATTTATTTATATATATATATATATATATATATATATATATATATATATATATATATATATATATATGTGTGTGTGTGTGTATAATACAGGTAATCGATCCGTTTGTATATAATTCAGGTGGATCCTAATAATAATAATTAAAAACTGATCCACAGAGAGCTCAATGTTTTTATTTTAAGGGAGCATATGTATTTTTTACAACAAAAATTACCCGATGTTGAGGTAATTTTTGTTTTTTTGTAATATATATATATATATATATATATATATATATATATATATATATATATATATATATATATAATCATCCACAGAAAAACTGTTTTGCAGCTCATCAGTGTGGCTAGATATACGATTGCTTCAAGTCGAGATCGAAACCAGCAAGCTATCGTTGCACGCCATATATATATATATATATATATATATATAATATTGCATAAATGGTCGCTACATACATAGTAAGAATTGGGGTGGCGCTGAATATATCGGTTCTCGTTCGATCCCTAATGACAAAGTGTAAAAAAATCATTTGACGTTGACGCGTTTTTTCCTTTAAGACAAAATCGGACTAAGGTG